GCTTTTTGCTCTGTAGAGTGATCATGCAATTTCAGAATAAATTGATTCAGCTGGCTAATCTGACACCAGTCTAACAATGAAAAACTTTTCCTCAGGATCAGCTGCCTGAAAAGACTTTCTCTGGGTACAGTCACTAAATCTAGTGCAAAAATTAAGGTAGCCAGGAGTAGGGGACCAGTAAACTGTTCCTACTAATGGCAGCTTGCCATAAGAATCCTAGCTATGCTGTGAAATTATGCCATCGTTTTTCCTGGCTGACACCTTTTTGTTAATCACAGGAGTATTTTTAACTTGCTTCCCTTTATGGGTGTACTGAGGCTCCTTGCAGAGGTGCGTGCCTTGATGCTTACATCTTTTTCATATACTCACAAATCATTCATTTCCCTTATTTATTTGGGGTTATGTGTAGATAAAGTGATGAAACCGCTTAAAAACTAAGCAAATATTTCTCTGTCCTTCATTTGTCTTTTGTTAGATACAGGATTCTTTAATTTTCTGAAATAGAATGGAACAGCCTTTAATAAACACAAAACCACTGGAAGCTTAACTTCTCTATGCTTACGGTTAACAAATATTACATTTAATAGTTCATAGTAAAATGTTATGTACTAAGCATATTCCTTTAAATAGAATATATTAATAGAATTATTTTTATAATGAAACTCCAATTAATTGCTGAAAAAATGAGCACCCAGTTGATGAAACAAATGAGAAATTTTCCAAGAATGAATATATCAAGTTCATTAGGCACCATGAAATGTTTAAGTTTACATTTGAATGTTCTTTATATGTACTGTTCTTCTTAATGCCATGAAGTTTTTGGTTTCAAAACAAATCTAGCTGGTGCAGTGTAATGAAAACAATCTGGTAGATATCTATTCTTCCTGGATACAAAAGGTTTTTATTGAGAAAAGAAGGCTTAATTTACTCTTCTAGTTAGATTGAAAGATTGTTCAAATGAAAACATGGGACAGAAATAGGGGAGGCATGAATTCACCTTTTACAATCTCTCTTCTGCTGTGGGACCTATTTTTTTTTGGTTCACGTTCATATATCTGTAACTTATTTGTAAAGTTCCTGTCTTTAAAGAATGGTATTAGCAATCAACTGTATTTTCTTGCCTCTGTTCCTGAGGCAAAAGCTTCTTAAGCCTGTGCAATCAATAATTCTAACTCCTTGATTATGGTTTTTAAAAATCTTTTATTTTTGAATTAGGGTTGTGTTTTGGTAAGTTACAATTCTTTCTTCAATTATGCTTATCACAGAATGGTAGGGGTTGCAAGGGACATCTGGAGATCATCTAGTCCACCCCCCTGCTAAAGCAGGATCACCTAGAGCAGGTTGCATAGGATTGTGTCCAGGCAAGTTTTGAATATCTCCTGAGAAGGAGACTTCACAACCTATCTGAGCAGCCTGTTCCAGTACTTGGTCACCCTCACAGTAAAGAAGTTTTTCCTCACATTCAGATGGAATTTCCTGTGTTCCAGTTTGTGCCCATTGTGCCTTGTCCTGTCAGTGGACAGCAGTGAGAAGAGTCTGGCCACATCCTCTTGACACAAGCCCTTTAGATATTGGTAAGTATTGATCAGATCCTCTCTCAGTCTTGTCTTCAGGCTAAACAGACGCAGCTCTCTCAGCCTTTCTTCATATGAGAGATGCTCCAGTTCCCTAATCATCTTTGCAGCCCTCTGCTGGACTCTCTCCAGTAGTTCTTTGTCTTTCTTGAACTGGGGAGCCCAGAACTGAGCACAGAACTCCAGATGTGGCCTCACCAGGGCAGAGTAGACGGGACGGATAACCTCCCTCGACCTGCTGGCCACGCTCTTCTTAATGCACCCTGGAACACCATTGACCTTCTTGGCTACAAAGGCACACTGCTGGCTCATGGATAACCTGTCCACCAAAACTCCCAGGTCCTTCCCTGCAGCACTGCTTCCCAGCAGGTCAATCCCTAACCTGCACTGGTGCTTGAGGTTATTCCTCCTTAGGTGCAGGACCTGAGCACTCATGGGTGCATCCCATCAGGGCCCAAGGATTTGTGGATGTTGAGTTGGCCTAAATTATCTCTAACTCTAACCTCCTCAGCCAAGGGAGGGTCTTCCTTTCTCCAGACTTTCTGTCTTACCTCCAGGGTCTGGAATTCTTGAGGGCCGGCCTTAGCAAGTAAAGACCAAAGCAAAGAAGGCATTCAGTAACCCCCCCTTCTCTGTATCCTCCATCACCAGGGCACCACCCTCATTCAGCAGCGGGACCACACTTTCCCTTTGTTGCTACTGGTGTATGTTGTCCTTGACATCCTTTGCCAGATTGAATTCCAAGTGAGCCTTTGCCTTCCTCATTGTATCCCTACGTACTCTGACTGCATTCCTATATTCCTCCCAAGCAGCCAGTCCTTTTCCACATTCTGGAAACTTCCTTCTTCCCTTTGAGTTCTTCCAGAAGCTCCTTGCTCATCTCCTGCCTCCTTTGCTTGATGTCTTCATCTTTGGGATGTAGTGATGTTGAGATTGGAGGAAGTGGTGCTTGAATATTGACCAATTCTCTTGGACCCCATTACCCTCTAGGACCCTAACCCGTGGGATTTTCCTAAGCAGGTCTTTCAAGAGGCCAAAGTTAGCTCTTCTGAAGTCCAGGATTGTAATCCTAATTTTCGTCCTGCTGCTTCCACGCAGGATCCTAAACTCCAACATCTCACGGTCACTACAGCCAAGGTTGCCCCCAACCTTCACTTATGTTTACTTCGTATTTGATTTGTGCGATGTGAATTCTTGGTTTTGGAAAACTTGGTGCTGAGGATATTGTGTCAGCAAACACATGCACAACTTTCTAGTATTGCACTTTTTTCACAGTAACGTTCATGGGTGTGACTGACTTCTCATGATTTTCTTTGATTAGAATTGCAGTTAGGTATCTCCTTCACTTGATTGAACTTTGAGGAACTTGGTTTAAGGGCAAAGTTATCAAATATTTACAGATAAAGTAATATATTTATGATGTTTAAATCTTACTTTAATCTTTTAAGGAAATATATTTATAGGGGGGTTTGCTTTTCTGTTGTCCCATTCCATGTCCTCCCCCATCCCCTCCCACTGAAGTGCTAATATTTAGCACAAAAGTTCAAAGTAGTCCTTTTTGGATATGCAGCTTAAAGTATCTAGCATACATTTAATGGAGAAACAGTGGGGAAAGTGTTAAGGGTGTAAAGTAGCCCATCACATAGGGATTTGCTGCTAAAGGAAACAATTACACAGAAGAACTTTTATTTCTAGCTTTTCTGGTTGGACCTTTCAATAGTACTAATCAGCAGCTTCTTCCTCCATTTGCCATCCATTGTCATACAAAATATTCAAGAAGGTTGAAGAAAACCATCAAACTTGGTCAGGCACTGTTTTTGGCAGTCTGAAGTGTGCAGTGCAAGGACTTAATTTGTCCGGATTAAAATCAATGGAACCGTAAACTGATCCAGAATTGTGGGTTGCCACAGGAGTGTGCGAAAATGCTGAAGATAGTACTGTGGAATTAGTTGTGTTTTATTGCTTAAAGGTAAACCAGCTTGTTTACATGGGTTTTTTTCCTGTAAGGGATTTGTAGGGCTCTATCTATCAAGGGCATAAAATTGGACTGAGTTCAACAGATTGAATGTGGTCTGACTGAAAGCCAGCTATATCTGTTCATTGACTTTTGCTGTCTTGGGCATTGCATTTTTGGATTTTCTTTTCACTATGGTCTCTAGTGAGTCTGTGTGGACACTTATTTTGAACCAAGAGCTTGACATTAGAGAACTGACTGTATATGGAAGGTGTGATAAGACCATCAGTGCTGAACATTATGGGTGTTGATCCTTAAATAGGATGTAGCCAGGAGGCCCAGAAAGTCTTTTGCATCCATTGAAGGTGCAGAAAAATCTTAACTAATCTTAACTATTACTTGAAAGGTTGAAGCAAGAGGCACTGACATCTGTTGTAGGACCTTGAGCTAAGAGGGGGAGAGGAACACCAGTAGGCTTTTTGTTGTGTCCTGGTTTCAGCTGAGATAGTCCCATACCAGCTCCTATGAAGAAAATTAACTCTGTGTTTTTGATTTGTGCTGAAAACAGTGTTGATAACAGAGATGTTTTTGTTGTTGACTCTGTGTAAGCACTGCTCAACAAGGCCTTTTCTGCTTCTCACACTGCCCTGTCAGCCAGTAGACTGGGCGTGCACAAGAACTTGGGAGAGGACAAACTGACCCCAAGTGACCAAAGGGATATTCCATACCGTATCATAGCATGCTCAGTATGGAATGGGCTTGGGGAAGAGTAAGTGGGGGAGGCAGGGGCGAGTGGCAGTGGTGTTCGAAGTGGTGACTTTTGTCTTCCTAAGTAACTGTTATGTGTGATGGAGCCCTGCTTTCCTGGAGATGGCTGAACACCTGCCTGCCCATGGGAAGTGGGGAACGAATTCCTTGGTTTGCTTTGCTTGTGTGCGTGGCTTTTGCTTTACTTACTAAACTGTCTGTATCTCAACCCATGAGTGTGGGGTTTTTTTTTTTCCTTTCCATTCCA